TCATTGAAATATCGTTAAATACAAGACCGTTTCGATCATTTTATACAAAGTGGATTAATCCGCTTACCCGTTATATTTTTATTTTTATTTTAAAAAAATTATAATTGAAGACCTAAATGCCTCAAAATTTAAACAGTTTTGCTATGCTCAACCTTTTGATCGTGCAATAGACATCATGTACAAATGTCTTGAAAATAGAGTTGTAAACGCGAAAAACTTGAATTGTATATATTCAAAATTCAAAGTATCGGTTACAATGAAGTATCAAGTATATATCAAACGGGAAGAGGTACAATCTCTGTATAGGAGAAGTCCTCTAATTCTCTACTACGAGTATGCCTATTAGAAGTGTGCCGAATTCGGAATATGCCGAATTGGAAGTGTGCCGAGTTCGGAGTATGCCGAACTTGAAGTAGCTTATTGTCGGGAGTATGCCGAGTCCGGAGTATGCTGAACTGGAAGTATGCCGAGTCCGGGAGTATGCCGAACTAGAAGTAGTTCCTTGTTGAAGGGCTTCCGGAGTTAGTAGCTTGTTCCTCAATGAAGGGCTAATATGAAGCTCTAATATGCAGCTTGATCTTCAAAGAAGGGCTTCCGGTGTTCAAATGGCGTATTCCTCAGCGCAGTATACACAGTTCAACTGCGGGCTTGTTCCAGATGATATCCTGGCAAAATTTCAGCAGAGCTTCGTTATGCAGATTTCCAAAGCCCATTCTTTGGAAATAAAACCACTATTTATAGTGGTGAGGGTGAGGGAAAATCTCCAACCAACTCTTAATTCCTAATTTAATTTAATTATTTTAATTAAATTAAGGAACGTATCAGGACACCATTGCGTCTAACTTCATCATACTTAGTATAAAAAAATCTTCTTAATATAAATAACAATAGTATCATAATTATTACTTTTATGATCTCTTTTGTTTTACATAACATTTGATGGGTAATACATGGACGCATGGTGACACTTTTCAATATAATATAGATTCTATAATTATTTTTAAAAAAAAGTTATTCACTATTTATTCAAAAAGATATTTTAATATAATCAAGAATTTTTATGTTGGGTACCATTATTGGATATTTAGTTTTTAAATAAGTTTTTTTTTTTTTTTTTTTTTTTCTTTTTTTAAAGAGAACAAGGGCAGAGAAGGAGAGAGTTTTTCCCTTCCCGTGGAGGAGAGGATGGGGGAAACATCCCCGCCCTGACCTAAACCTCAATTCCTAAATTATATATTATATTATTTTATACTTATTGTATATGATGGGCAAAAGGATTAATCTATGTGCACGTCCTAACGTGCATACCCTGAGAACTTGGAGGGTGTGATTGAGTGGAAATGTCTCATTTATCCTTAATCAAATGTCAAGGAATCAAAAGGAACTGTCTCACCCTTTAAAGGTGCCTACAATTCAACGAGAAAATTAGTTGGTGTCCAATAGTGGATACCTTGGGTTACCTCCAAAAAAATAGGTAATCACAAATTGAAAGCAACAATTATTACTGACAGAAATGCATGAATGCTCCAACTTCCTGCACAAACTACCAACATCTAATCCAACATCACAAGCACCAAAGCAAATTTTATAATACATAACAGCATCCGCTAATGCTCAAAATAATACACATTTTTTACATATATACAAGCAAAAGCTGGCTGCTTTACATTTCTGTATTTGTAAGGGGCCCGGGCAAAATTTATGGTACCAACAGAAATGCAACTGTAAGCATTGAAAATTTAAATAATATTGTTGCACCGTGGTGGATAATTGATTGTTAAATTAATTACTTTAATTAAGCTAATTAGACTGGTATTTATTTAATCGGGTTAATTAAAATGGCCCATTAAATATTTATTTGGTTTAATTGCTTAATTAAATGTAATTGGATGTTGGAGTGTTCGGCCCGAAACGATGAAATATTTAATTTAGTTGGACCGGGCTGCTTGGAGTAATTGGGTTGCTAATTAGCGGGTTTGACTTGGTCTTGGCCCATCAAAATTATATGTGGATTATATAATTTTGAGAAATTTGAATATTTGATATTATTTGGAAATTTAATGAAATCATGAACCTGTACGCAATGGTGTCCCGATACATTCCTTAATTTAATTAAAGAAATTAAATTAAATAAGGAATTAAGAGTTGGTTGGAGATTTTCTCTCACCCTCACCACTATAAATAGTGGTTTCATTTTCAAAGAATGGGCTCTGAAAATCTGCATATCGAAGCTCTGCCGAAATCTCGCCAGGATATCGTCTGGAACACGCCCGCAGTTATATATATACTGCGTATATTGCGCTGAGGAATACGCCACTTGAACACCGGAAGCCCTTCTTTGAAGATCAAGCTGCATATTAGCCCTTCATTGAAGAACAAGCTACATAACCCCGGAGGCCCTTCAGCAAGGAACTACTTCCAGTTCGGCATACTCCCGAACTCGGCATACTTCCAGTTCGGCATACTCCCGAACTCGGCATACTTCCAGTTCGGCATACTCCCGAACTTGGCATACTTCCAGTTCAATATACTTTGAACTAGGCACACTTCCAATTCGGCATATTCCGGATTCGGCATACTTCCAACAAAGAACTACTTCAAGTTCAGCATACTCTGAACTCGGCACACTTCCAATTTGGCATATTCCAAATTTGGCACACATCTAATAGGCATACTTCTAGTAGAGAATCAAAGGACTTCTCATATACGGAGATTGTACCCCTTCTTGATTGATACATACTACTTGTAACTGATACTTTGAATTTTGAATATATACAATTCGAGTTTTTCGCGTTTACAGCAACAATGCCCATCGAGCCGCAAGGCTAGCTCGGATCATTAACCATTAGACATCTACTCCTACTAACCAATGTTTTTGTTTCCCCTCAAAGACAATAAAACAATCGACTTTTTCTTACAGTCTAAAAAGGTACCTTAGATCTTCTACAGTGACGCGACTTGCAATGCCTCCTGCATGATCTTCACCAAAAGCAGATGCAACCAAGGTTCTCTTGTCTTCTTGAAACGCAACAACAACTATCACAAGTTAAGGGTAAAATGTAAAAACATATTAAGACAAATCTTAAATTTTGATATTTTGTGTGCACGAGAGATGAAGTTATGTGGTTTTTACTAGATCGAGATAAACCCCATCCGTTTTTGTAGCAACTCTTTCATCTTTTCATTATTTGGCGTCATCATCACATGATATTTAATTTGTTTTCTCCTCACCCTATTCAACTAATAACCAACAACCATAGCCACCACTGGAACACCACCCCACCATTCAATTTTTAGTTCAATTCGAAGCAATAAACAAATTATCTTAATTTATCAAGTATCAACTATCTTTTTAGATGAACCAACAATGTTTCATTGAGAGATAACCTACCTTAATTTTCAGCAAGTGAAACACCTATGAGGGAAGGGTTTTGAACTAATTTTTGGGAATAAGTTGTTAAAATTGAAGTGTAATGACAACTTTATCAAAATTGTCAATCCATTTCACATACCTTCCTTCCAAACAATGAACTGGAATAAAGTGAAAGGTGAATAGAAACTACTCCATTTAGATAGCAATATCCAGTTTTTTAAATCAAGGGAAAATGGAAAACTTTCATTCTAACCTTGCACACACTCTAAGTGAGTTGAGTGTATCATAGAATCATCATCTATTCCATTTTATTAAAGCCCAAGAGCTAGAGTGCACTAGGACTAGATTGTAGTGTTCTGCTACTTCCTAGCATGTCATAAACACCCTATTTCCTTATTAAACTCATTGTGGTATACTGGTATCAATGTCTATGCAAGCAAAATTATCATAGAGCTATAGAAGCACATACCAACAAAAAGACTTGTTTGGAAAGAACAAAAATCTTATCATATATTATACACACGCGCACACACACAAATATGCATAAACTGCCACACCACCAACCCAAACACCAAAAGTAGTCTTGCTTTTGCAAAACATTGTTTTAGAAGTTCTGGTATTATATATAAAGAAGAGTAACTGATCAAACTGAAACCAGATGATCAAGAAATACAAAACATGGTAATTCATATCCAAAAAATGATATGATGTAGAGTTTAGTTGAAAAGTTAACCTGGAGAGCTAAAATCCTATCTTCAACAGTGTCTTGAATTGTTAATCTGGACACAGTTACAGGACGAGTCTGTCCTATTCTGTGAGCCCTTGATCTATAGCCTGATCTTCTGTAGTTGGATTCCACCAGAGATCCAGAAGGATGACATGACAAGCTGCCACCAAGGTTTCCAGCTTTCAGAGACATTATCATAACAGTTACCTGTAAAAGGACAATAATTTAAGGCATGCTCTGAAAATATTTAACACAGCACAAAATTGAAACCTAGTACACAACAGTTACAGAGGAAAGAATTTTACTCATGCTGACATTGAATCATACATGAAAGCACATTCCAGATACATGCAAATCATAGCCTTGCCTTCTATGTATGTAATACTTGTGTAAACAGATATAGGGATTTTAAAATTCTCATGGTTGTCACAATAAGCCTCCAGCAGAAGATAATTTTTGAGAAAATGTGGAAACATCCACATATTATACTACATGCAAGGATACCCTCCCATCAAAAGTAGAGATTTTGCAATCAAAATAATCTGTCAACTATGCTAAAAAATAAAATAAAAAAAAGGCAATAACATACTTAACACACTTAACCAAGCATTAAATTAAAGAATCTCTTTTTGTTTTCAGCTAGTAACATATTAGCTCTGAAGCATAGGACAAGAAAAATTCATAATATGTGAAAGGGAGCAACAAAGAACTAAGACAACTCTACATATTTCAATACTAATTTGCTAGCCCACATCTAAGAGAAACTAAAAGCTTTGGTTGAACTGAAACCATATAATATAAAACTCCAACCTTGGGATTGGTGTTGAATTCTTTAACCGCCCAAGACTCATTGTGCCATCAAGCCTTTCATATCGTATGCCAGACTCGTTTAGTGACCTCTCAACTAGGTCCAACATGCCCGTCCACTGAGTGTGGAACTGAGTTTTTGTTTTCAATAGATGAGGTTTCCCCATTCGATTGGACCAAGATATCAGAATCTGAGCTGGAATCTTCTAATTTACAAAATGAATTAAGAATTTCAAGACAAGCCCTGATTTTGGAAGAACAATACTTTTTCCCCATTATAGATTTATCATCATATACAGATAAATTCAGAGGATCTTTATCCAGATTATCAGAAGTGCATCTTTTAAGGACAGCCTCTGAAAATACAATATCAGCATGAAGTTGTTTTTTGCATCCATGAGTAGGACAAGTATTATCTTCCCCAGTCAAATACTCAGATACACATTGATAGCAGAAGACATGTTTGCACAAAGTGACAACAGCATATTTGGGTGGATCCTGTTGAGAAGCATATAAATATTAAAAGATTAATTAAGAATCTCTAGCAGAAAATAATGCAGAGGAAAAAAAAAAAAAAAAAAAAACCTGCAGCATTGACCCACCATGAAAATATATCAGCAAAAAGGCACATTTCCACTCGGAACTTCCCTTGTTTCAAAGGTTACAGCAAGATTTGATTTTGCATATCATTTTAGTCCAAACTTCAAATTTAATCAATTTATTCCCCTGAGATGATTACAGTTCCTATTACTATTTCATTACTCAATTTGTGTATAAATTTCACAGTTCTGTTCGAAAAATTTATAAATGGTACAAGCAATATTCTTTGATATAGTTTCCTATCAATTCTGTGTGAAAATTGTTTTCCACTCAAAAAATATGAGTTTGAGATTGCTTTCCAAGAAATTGGTTGTGATAGGGCGATTCGGGAGAGACAGACCGGCGATTGAGGCTATTAGGGCAGAGTTTCGAGCATTTTGGGCGAAATACAGATTGGTTCCCTCAATGCAAGTTCAATCCTGATTAGATGCTCCTCTGAAAATGATTGTAAAAAGCTCTTGACGAGAAATCGTGCGACTGTAGCTGGAGCGAACATCGGTGATCACCGGAATGGCAGAGCTCAACGCAAGTCCCGGTATGGCTAAATCTCCCTAATCTTCCATTACATTTATTTAATCCTGGTATGTTGGAGAGAATTTGCGAACCAATTGGAAGTTATCTGTTCTCGGATTCGGCGACTGAGAGGAGGTCACGACCAAGTTATCTGTTCTCGGAAGAATACCACACCTCCATTTCACAAACCTAAAACCCCATCCATGCTTAAAATGACATTTTAGGAGCACGAATGAGTATCTTCCCATTTTAGAACATATCTTTTCCAACAACCTATACTGATTCTAGAATTCCTTCATCTATGTTGAAAAAGATCTTTCTCTACAGATTGCTCACCATTATTTAATATGATGATACATCAAAGTTATTGTGCAGGTTCAAGCTTTATTGGCCTTTCTAGTGAAGCTTTGAACAATTAAAATCTCTAACACTAGTTCAAGATTTGGAATAACATAACCCTATCCTTCATATCAATTAAAAACAACGGGAAGACAATAGTAAAATTTAATAATTTAGCACAACATTCACATTTTAATACATGGACAGGAAAATAGAAAGGCACCTTAAATTGTGAGCGAGATGCAGCTTCTAGCCTGTTATAGAAATCACGCTCCTCAGCAGAGAAAGCCACCTTTTTCAAATGTATAGTTTTTGGTGGTAAGTTTATAATTGGCTGGCCCTCAATCAATGTACCTAGAATAAAACACTGAAGATTATTAACATCTAACATCTAATATTTCAGCATTACAAGAATAGTATAAACATCTATACTTCCTAGCAAACTTAACTGTGAAAAGGACAAAGTCAAATAAAGTATTATTATAATAATTATTATTGTTAGTATTTTTCTTTTTGTTGCAAAATAGACTACATTTATTCATTAACCCTCTCCACCAAACATGAAAGTTCTAAGGTCAGATTGGCCCTCTACTGAGGAAGAAAAAAGTTTGGTAATGATTACATAAGACCTACACTCTTCTAGGTAACACAATCTCTGTGACTTCAAAAATTAGTGCAAAGCATTTAGGTAATGCATTAACATTCTTTGGTGTCAATTCAATGCTCAGTTGTAATTTTGAACCTACCAAATCTGTTATCAATATTGCTCAGGGAGCTCAACATCAACATTGAAAGCATACTAATCAAATTTAGGTGAGAATCAAATAAATTTGAGGTATGTTAAGGAAAGAAATCACAGAAATCACATGTTAAGGAAAGAAATCACAAGTGTTGAATATTAGGAAAGTTGTCTTACTTTCCTATTTTTATTAGTAGTTTCCTAGACTAATTTAGTATCTAGTTTAGTATATATAGAGGTCCATAGAAGTATAGAATAGACAGAGACAGAGACAGAGACAATCTATTGTATTCTTTCAATATAATCTATTTTCTTGTTCTTTGGTTCTCACATATCTTGCTTCCGCCTTACTGGCGGGTGGTGGATATTCTCCACCCGCCAGGTCTCTCAAATTCTGAATTTTAACAAGGTACCTATCATGCTAGTTAAAGGATAGAGCTTGAAAAATTCACCAGGCTAGTTGACTGTCAAGAGGCCTGCCTCACTATTTTTTTCCCCACTATTATTTTTGGAAATGGATACATTTCCCCTTTCTTATTGAATAAGGAATCTATAGCAGGGGATAACAGTCTATATGAAAGATAGTTTAGTCATCCTTAAAATGATGATAAAAGATGAATCTGTCAATGACAATCAGTAAACAATCAGACCAGGCATCCATGTTAAGAAACGAAATGTTCATGTTCAAACCAATGACCAAAGTTAAAGGATGTAGAACAACTCTACCCTAACAAATTAATTGATTGGAATCCCCACACTTATGCCATTCCAACTTCCAAGTGACAGAAAAGCATGTATACTACCAGTCTACCATAGAAGTTGGAAACTCCTAAGAACCAAGATACATTTAGAGCACAAATTGATTTAAAGAAATTAACCGCATGATACTAATGGAAACATACTTTAAGTGCCTGGAAAATATAGGTTTGTATTTTAAAAGAACTAGTTTTATATTAGTTATATTAGAAAAAAAAAACTTCACAAAAAGAACTGGCTTTATGATAGAAAAAAAAAAAAAAACTCCACTTTCCAGTAATAATCATTAACAAAGGAAGTTGGAAAACAAGATATTTGTCAAAGTTTCCTGAATAAACTTGCAACATTTCTCCCTTTATTCTTAAAAATGGAAAACGCACATGAACCATCAGTCCACCACCCATACTCCCATCACCACCATCCATATCCACCCGCTACCACTATCACTGCCAGCAACCAACCACCATAGCCACCACCACCACCCACAGCTATTACAGTAACGACCATACTTCCACCCACCACCACAATACCACAATCGCCACCCACCTGTTATTACTGTTACCGTAATTAACTGCCACCACCTACTTCCACCCCTAATTGTTATTGCCAACATACAACTGCCCAGTACCACCATTATCACCAACTATTCACCATCATTCTTACCCCCACCACTGCCACCCATCTCTGATCCAAACACAATTACCACTTGCATTTGTAATTTCATATTAAGAAAGTAATGGAATTGTGTTTTGATGTTTTCAAAGTTCAGTAATAATTACTCCCTCCATTACAAAAGTATGTCCTCTTTAACTGGACATACAAATTTAGGAAAGTAAATTTAATGTATTGACTAAGTGATATATAATATATTTTCATTTTTCCCATAATAAATGCACTGTGTAAATTTTTCTTATAATAAATGTAGTAGGTTTTTAAAGGGTGTTTTGAGTAATAAAGTAATAAATATTGTATTTCCATGTTGGAACATCCCAATATAAGGAGAACAATTTTTTTGGGAACAAAGGAAGTACAAGTTTACAACTAAGGAACAAAATTACTTTTGCCATCCCTCCAAAGTAGAAAAACACTAAACACTAAAAGTATAAGATTGACAGAAGTATAATCACCTTTTGTTCGGAGCAACATAATGGCCCTCAAGATTGCTTGAAGCTTCTTGTAACCTTGTATCAAGTTCATAGCTATTGGGTACTTGACACCACTACAAAATGTTTTGTAGTCAGCATAGGGATCGTGTCTTAGAAATCTGAAGTAACTGAATAGCTCGTCAATGGAATTTTGTATAGGTGTTCCAGACAAGCACCACCTTCTTTTCGCTCTAAGACTGCAGCAGGCTCTGGCCACTTGTGTTGTATGATTTTTTATAGTTTGAGCCTCATCCAAAATAACCCTAAACCAACTCACTCTAGCAAGTGTACCACAACTAGGATCAAAATCATCTGTATCAATTCCATTCCTACCCTTTTTCCCCTTCTTTTTAACATATGTGTTTTTCAGCTTTTTGTAATTAGAAAATTGAGAAGAAAGTCCATATCTTTCACCATTCTTTTGCTCATCATCATCATCTTCAACCGCCGGTTGTTTTGCTCTAATATAAGTATAATTGTTATGCAAAATATATTTATATTAGAGCAAACCTGAATGAATCCTAGAAGCTGAATAGGGAGATCGAGTCCCTTGTAGCTGCAGGTGACTCATCTTCGTCGTCTTCACTAGAATCATCACAACAGATAACAACATATGTCTTTAACTTGAACCCCATCTTCGTATTCATCAACAGATTGAACACAAATTAAAGACAACAAACAAAACCCCAATTAAAGGTCTCACTTGCAAAACACAAATTTGTAAAAAGGTACAACTACACTCCTTAAGCTATATATGCAGCAGCCATTCGTCATGAATCATGATCAAACGTCTAAAACAAATGCTTACACTCACTCACTAACCTATTATATTTACATTTTTGGGGTGTTTAACTGTTTAATCAGCTATAAATTATAATTGTTTTATAATTTCTAATTTAAAATTATTTATTTTTTAAATTAAGCATCATTTCAATAATAATTGGTTTTATGCATTTAATCACATTAAATGTATAATATTAAGTTTAATTAAGTTCTAATTTAGGTATAATATTAAATTTAATTATGCAATTAAGGTTTCTGTGATTTTGATTTACATATGATAACATATACTTTGGGTTTGATATTGTTAAAATTTGTAAATTTAACTCGTTTCTCATTAATTTGATTTTATGCATTAAAACATTTTGTTATGATGAGCTTACAATTTGAAACCTTTTAAAATATTTATCAATTATTTCATTATTCAAAATGTTGAGTCCTTTTTGGTTCGGGCTCATATTAGTGTTTGAATATTAAGTTTTATATTTTGAAAGTTCATATTAAAATTGTTTTTCGTTATGCATATTGTTTGGAATATATGAGTTTAATGTTTAATTTATACAAATTTGTTCTAAGCATAATATTATGTTTTTAAATTTATGAGATTTTATTTTATCTTTAGCAATTAGCAATGCATAGTTTAGGATAGAATTATATTGGTTCCTTATTAAGTTTGACTTATGCATAAATTTTAGCTGCAGTAGTACCTGAATTTAAGCATGTTTAGTCTGTTAATTTAGTTCACTATTTTAAGCTTTATCGATAGACAATAGGTGAATTATACAGTTTTTGGATTATACCCTACAATTTTTAGGTTTATATCCCAAATGGTTATACATTAAATGTATATGAATCGGAGAGGCATACTAGTTTTATGGGCATGACATAAGAACATCTTGTGTAACTAGTCCCCTTTTTGAGTTGATACTCTATCTAAGGAATTGGTCTTTAATTTAATGAGGTTTTGTTTTACTAACTTTCTTTGGGTATATATATTTGAAATTTTCCATCACAATTTGGTATAATTTGTCAAAATTTTAAGTATTCATTGCCAATGTGATTTGATTTACTAAAGTCTCTTACGTTTTCAATCTTGGCTAAATAAGAAATAGCCAACATATTCAACTAGCTAAGGGGATTATTAAGTTTCAATCATAAAGCGGCAAGGACTTGATAATTGTCTAGTGATCTTACAATTTTAATTAGTTGGGGAATAGCCCCAACATCTTTAATCAATTAAAATTATATATTCTTCCAAAAGGTTGTACCCCAACCCTAAGGCCCCCCCACACCCCGGCCGACAGAGCATTTGGGAGGATGTAAATCATGGTGACTCAACTGAAAAGTCTAGGGGGGGTGGGTATGAATAGACTTTCAAACACTTTATTCAAAGATAATTCAAGTGAATAAATACAACTTGAAATGCACAGTGGAAATAAACACATGGTAAAGTGCTATAAATAAAACCTTGTAAAAAAATGAATAGTTATATCACATGCAATACGTTGGAAACTCTTAGAATAGCTCAAATGGTATGTAAAGTTTGGTTCACATGCATACGTGGAAACTATCCAACCCAGATAGATAAATCTAAATCAGTATCAAATGAGTTTTCAAATAATCATGCAAAAATAAATAAACTCAAGTATGATAATTTATTTTGCATGCACACGTGAAAATAATGAATCCAAATGATAATATGAATAAATAATAAGATGAACAGTAAGTGGGATAGTTAAGATAATAAATAAATAAGAATAAATGTACTGCAAGTAAGTAAAGAGAGAGAGAGATCCCTACCAACAGAGAAAGAGAGAGAAATTTATAGTAGTTCAGAGGTGGTGTAATCCTCATAATCCACTCTTCTTCAAGGAGGGAAATTCACTATCTTCAATCACTCACATACAATAGTGATCGAACAAGTGTCAGTCTAACACTTATATAACTCCGAACGTCTTGCACAAAGCTACACTCAATTCCCGAGTATATCGCACAAAGCTATACAATGTATATATATCCTAGCAACTTATGAAAATTCTAATATATGTCCATCATCAAACATCTACTCATTTGTCCTCTTAAAACTAGAGTGATTAAGGCAATAATATGGTTAAATCTCAGCCATTGATCTAGTCTAGATCAACCGTCCAGAATGAAGAATTTTATTTTTTTAAAAATACGGTGGTATTTTCATAACTTTTTTGTAAGTGCATTTTTTTTTTTTTTTTTTTTTTGTCTTTTGGCGCATTATTTTCTTATCTTCTAGTGAATACTTTTGTCTCTACAAGTGCATACTTTTCTCTCTTTGAGTGCATAATTTTTCTCTTTGACCTTTTAAAATATAAAAATATGTCAAACATTTCAGATTACTTCAAGTAATCTAGTCACGCAAATATTTTTATTTTTATTTTGGGGTATTTGCGCGCGATCGTTTTAACTAAAAACGGTCGCGAATACCCCTATTTTTAAATAATAATAATAATAATAATAATAATAATCCACGACTGTTTAGAATTTGAAATATTTTAAAATGCCAAAAATTAAATTTCAAAAATCTATGCCATGGAATTCGAACTCCTAGTAATTAAAATAAAAATCATATATTTTATCATCTAAGCTAGCTCATCCTTATTAAAATTTATGTATATTTAATGCTTATAAATGTTTAGTATATATATACATAATACATAAGAGCCGTCACTATGAATCCGCTTTTGGAAATAAGGTTGTCTATTATCTCTTCATTGTTTATTATAGTTTTTTGGAGTATAGTAGTTGTAAGCGTTGATCCAGAAACAGATTGAGTTATTGATGCATGTGTGCTAGACACTAAATAGAGTAAGTTGTGCAACAATAATATAATCTCTAGAGCATGCTGGAAATAAAATAATAGATTTGATATTAAATTTTATTAAAACTTACTCAACACAAAGAATACATTGGGTACAAGTAAGAATGCTCCTGGTAATCCAATAAGTCGCCAAAATTATTGGCTGTGGTGGAGAGAAAGATGGTGGTTGATTAAGCTCATTCACACAGTTAACAAAGTTTATAATGAGCTTAACAATAGAATCATCATATATTTTCTCAAATGACGCAACAATTAGATTTTGCTTGAAAAGTCTCAACTTGTTTGCTAATTTGTTCCAATGACGGTGTCGAGAAATATTGATGAAATCTCCACAGATTAAGGAAAAAGCCGCAAGCATCATGACTACCTTGGTGTCCCAAGGGTAGGTGGATATCATGGTTAGCAAATGGATTGTTGTCGAGTGATAATCAATATTATTCAAACTCTTAAACACTACCTGCAGTAAAAGATAATATAACAGACATAATAAAATCAAGAAAAAATTAATATAATAATCGTCTAGGTCGATAAGGACACGAAAGTAATAAATAATTAAATATTACAAGTGTAATACAAATATTTAATATATTTAACAACATTTAAAATTTGCAATATTCATAATTGAAGTATGCTTTTTGTCGCAACTAAAAGGTAGGCTAAGTTGACGTCTTGACGATGATATATAGTTGAATCACTTACACAAGCATATATGTATGGTCATATGAGAACAATATAATACTTCTACTAAAAATTAAAATGTGAAAGAACAATTCAAAATTCAATAGTAATTCCAAACTTTGAACTCGTGCACATGCATGCACTCGCCCCTCAAGTGTGCAATTATATATATATATATATATATATATATATATATATATATATATATATATATATATATATGGTTGAATCTAATTTTAATATCAAAATAAAGGATGCGTTTTATCTAAACTAAATGTATAGTTAAACTAATAGTTAGACTGCTATATGTACATATTTATTATATATATTACGTTCAACACTAATTACATTTAAATAATATTTTTAATCAAACTTAAACAAATGTGTACAATAATGAGGAGTTATGTATATAGTGTGTCAAATGCTAAAACACTACCTCAAAAGAAAGTTGTCTCACTTGGTATGAGAGTTCCTTCTGAATGCACTTTTGTGGCATTAACATGTCTTTCTCAACTTTTCCAGAAATCTAAATTATATCATATATATGTTCCTCCATTACTATCAAAATGTGACAAAAACATCAATCAAGAAGCTAAACTTGAGTTAATAAAAAATTTAACATTTTAATGTTTTTACTTTGATTTAAACTAGTACGGAATACCAAAGACCTTATGGTTCAATGGTACCATGTTAAACTCCCACATGAGAGGTTGTGGGTTTGAGTCTCAATGTGCATGTGCTTTAGTAGATTGAAAAAGTAGTTGTACGTGAATAGTCTCTATTATAAGACAACCAGGTAGTTAAAGTTGAGAATATTCACTTCATCCGCGATTGCAGCGTCATCATCAAGCTCCATGTTTGTGAAATCAAATGGGACAATATTACTTATTAAATTCATCATTATTTTTAGAGTTAATTTCAACAAGGAATAAGGGTCAAATAGGCCATCGAACCGCACACAATAATGCAATTAGGCCACTGAACTTTAAAAAACAACAATTGAGCCCCTAAACTAACCAATTTTATACAATTAATTCAATTTACATGTTTTGCAGGTTAGTAACATGTCACTTGAAATTTAAAATATTTTTTTAAAAATATTATTTAAAATAATAATTTAAATTTAAAATATTAAAAAAATAAAGAATCCCCGTCTCCACCGGAGACGAGTTTCTTCCTCTCCGGCCATGAAGACGAAGAAACTCTTCATCTCCGGCCATGGAGACGAAGAAAGTTTCTTTGTCTCCAGCGGAGACGGGAAACCATTTTTTTTTAAATTAATTATTATTTTTAAATAATCATTTAACAAATATATTTTAAATTTTGGGTGACCAGTTATTACTTGCAAAACCTGTAAATTAGACTAATTGAATGAAATTGGTTAGTTTAGGGACCTAATTGTTGTTTTTTTAAGTTCAATGGCCTAATGGCATTATTGTGTGCAGTTCGATGACCTATTTGACCCTTATTCCTTTCAACAATGGTCCTCCGACTATGTTGATTTTCCACTATTGGTCCTTGACTTTTAATTTGAACAAATATTTTTCGCATAGCTCAAAACAAAATTTGCATTCAAATTGGTAGCACCATATATATATGCATTGGGATGATGAGTAGCCTTCACTTCATCCGCGATTGCAGCGTCATCATCAAGCTCCATGTTTGTGAAATCAAATGGGACAATATTACTTATTAAATTCATCATTTTTTTAGAGTTAATTCCAACAATGGTCCTCTGACTATGTTGATTTTCCATCATTGGTCCTTGACTTTTAATTTGGACAATTTAGACACTTGACTTTCAAATTCTTTTCAATGTTTGTTCTTCCGTCAGATGAAGGTTAAGTGGATGTTAGTTGGAGGGGTAAAATAGTCATTTCACTTGCTTAGTTTATAATTATTCCTTTCCTGCAAAGGTGACATTCTTTTCGGCGTTGCAAACAAGTCCGATCTACTGCCGGCAATCCTCACGTCCATGGAAGTAACAGAGAAGAAGACGATGAGAATAATAATAGAGTGAGTGATTGGAGGGCTCTTGATAAGTTGGTTGCTTCCCAGTTGAACCACGGCGATCCTAATGATGATCAGAAGAGATACCACGGCAGCGGCGAGCCAAGATTGAAAAATCAGAAGAGATACAAAAGCGTGAGAAAATTGTGTGGTGAAGAAAACCGCCGGAGCAAAACACTCGTCGCCAGCACCCGGAATGGCTACCGGAGGAGCGTCGTCAAAGCTCAAGAAAGCTGCAAAAAATTTGATTGGAACTGTGCATTATAGAACCTGCTAAGCTGAAGTGAGAGATGGACTAAAGAGACTTCATTGATGGTGAAGAACAGAGAGAAAATATGATATGTCAGATAAGGAAGATAACTCCCTTATATATTCTGTTACAATGAAAACAGTGAAGGAAAGGAAAATAACTAATAGAAATGAAAAGTGGGAAAAGACAATAGTGACCCTGATTAATCCAATCTGAGCTAAGGCACTACTTGCATTACTTTGTCACCCCCCCCTCCCCCCCCCCCCCCCCGTAAGCTGGAGCATGAACATCATGAAGGCCCAGCTTATCATGGAAGGCAGTAAAACTCAGCTTTGGCAATGCTTTGGTGAATCCATCTGCAACCTGTCTATGAGATGAAATAGGCAGCAGTTTAATCACTCCTTCACAAACTTTTTGTTTGACTACATGACAATCAATCTCTATATGCTTGGTGCGCTCATGGAACACATGGTTCTCTCCAATGGCAATGGCAGATAGATTGTCACAGTACAAGACACTTGGACTATCATGCTTCACCTTCAAATCTGTCAACAAGTAAAGTAACCACTGAATTTCACAAACAGAAGAAGCCAAAGCCCTGTACTCAGCCTCAGATGATGATCTAGAAACAGTGGCTTGTTTCTTTGTCTTCCAAGAGATCAATGATTCTCCTAAATAAACACAGTATCCAGTGATGGACTTCCTTGTCTCTGCACAAGTAGCCCAGTCTGAGTCAGAAAATCCATGTAGTTTAAGTTGGGAATTGGTGGAGTAAAACAGTCCTTTTCCAGGAGATCCCTTAAGATATCTCAACACTCTATGGGCTGCAATGAGGTGTGTTTCCCTAGGCTTATCAACAAATTGACTTAGTTGTTGTGTAGCATAGGCAATGTCAGGTCTTGTGCTTGTCAAGTAAAGAAGTTTCCCCACCAATCTCCTGTATAATTCTGGATTTTCAAGCAGTTTTCCATCCAGACTTGTTAACTTTTGTCCTACAATAATGGGAGTTTGTGCAGGTTTAGCATCTAGGAAACCATTTTCCTTCAAGATCTCTAAAGTATATTTCCTTTGACAGAGATTCAGGCCCTTTTGAGTTCTGTAAGCTTCTATCCCCAAGAAATAATTGAGATGTCCAAAGTCTTTGATTCTGAAAGTTCTGTCCAAGAAATGTTTCAACTCATCAATCAACTTTGAGTCTGCACCTGTGACCAAAATGTCATCTACATAGACTAGTAAGGCAATAAAAGAAGTGCCTAAACCTTTTGTGAATAATGAGGGATCTGCTATAGACTGTTGGAAGCCATTTTCTAGCAAAGCCTTTGTCAATTTTGCATTCCATTGCCTGCTGGCTTGTTTGAGGCCATACAGAGATCTAACCAATCTGCATACCATCTTTGGATTGTCATTCTGAAAACCAGGTGGTAAAGTCATATAAACTTCTTCTTCCAAATCTCCATGTAAGAAAGCATTATTGATATCCAATTGTTGAATATCCCATCCCATTGCAATGGCCACAGCTAGGAATGTCCTAATAGTAGTCATCCTGGCCACTGGAGAGAAAGTCTCAATATAATCCACTCCCAATTGTTGAGTATATCCTTTAGCAACCAATCTTGCTTTGTATCTTTCAATTGACCCATCTGCTTTATGCTTAACCTTATACACCCATCTACATCCAATTGGGGACTTCCCTGGAGGTAATTCTGTTAAAAACCATGTCTTATTCTCAACCAAGGCATCTATTTCTGACTGCATTGCTTTCCTCCAAGTTTCATATTTCACTGCTTCATTATATGATTGGGGTTCAAGAGTAGAGAAAACAGAGGCTGCACATATCTTGTGATCCAAGCTTAAGGCTTCATATGAAATAAAATTGTTTATGGGATAAGGAGAAGTTCTAGTGTGTGCATCATTCTTTGACATAGAATGACAGTAATAATCAAGTAGCTTGGTAGGAATATTCCTTACTCTTGCTGACCTTCTGTACTGATGTTGATTATCCCCCATATTGGATGTGTTTTCTTCCAAGGCTGTGCCATTGGTGGTTGCATCAGTGGTGTTATTTTCTTCACTAACCATCCCTTCAAAGATAGCATTGTTGTCCTCACCATTGCTGATTACACCAGACTCTTGTATGGTTTCAGGAGTGGTATTTCTTGAAGAAATCAGTGAAGGGTCAACCTCCTCAACCTCAGACTGTCCTATGTTTGTCTCTGGAACTTCTTTTTCTTCTTTCTCCTCTTGGAAAGGATATATCTGCTCATAGAACTGCACATCTCTAGACACAAACACATTTTGGTTAGCAATATCATATAGCAAGTACCCCTTAACATTGGCAGGAATACCCAACAACACACATTTTCTGGCCCTTGGCTCCATTTTATTTCTTCCCTGAGAAACTGTAGCTCCATAGCATAAACAACCAAAAACTTTTAGATGATCATACCTCACATTTCTTCCAAACAGTATTTCAAAAGGAGTTTTTCCATTAATTGTGGGAGTTGGCAGTCTATTGATGAGATAGCATGCATGAAGAACACAATGCCCCCAAAATCTTATGGGAATACCAGACTGAAATTTAATGGCTCTAGCCACATTCAAAATATGTTGGTGCTTCCTCTCAACAACACCATTCTGTTGAGGTGTGTAAGCACAGGATTTTTGATGAACAATTCCTTTTTCATTACAAAAAGTGTCCATGAAGAACTCTCTTCCATTGTCAGTCCTCACAGACTTAATATTTGCAGAGAATTGTGTAAGAACATAATGATAGAAGTTTTGAAACAACATTCCAACCTCTAATTTATTTCTCATTAAATGCAGCCAAGTAAACCTACTACAATCATCAACAATTGTCAAAAAGTAGTGTTCCCCCTTTAAAGAGGCAATAGCAAAAGGTCCCATACATCCATGTGAACCAAATCAAAGCACTTATCAGCTCTAGAACTACTTATAGGGAAAACTGACCTCTTATGCTTAGCAAAATGACAAGCATCACAGGCAAAATCACATGGCTTAGGAATCAGTCCATGCTTTATTCCATCTATAAGATGTAGTTTATTTATAGGATAGTGACCTAACCTATTATGCCATAGCTGTAAAGACAGTCCATTACACTGAGCTTCAGCACTCTCAACTGCACAGTGAACTTTTCTTCTGATTGGGGGATCAATTAACAAATACAATCCATCCATCTCCCTAGCAAAACCACACATTGTTGTCCCATGAACATCCTGAATGTTACATGAATTAGCATCCA